GATAATTAGTAAAATAGTGGTGCATGGGATCGTGCCTTAAGGCAAATTTCTGGAACTTTCCGTACTAAAAATTATTATTTTTTTAAAAAGATTAACATTTTTGAAAAAAAATTACTTTGAAAAGATTACATTTTTTGAGAAACCATAAATTTTTGACAAAAATTTACTTTTTTTAAAAAAAAAAAGACTTTTTGAAGAGAAATTTATTTTGAAATATTTTGGAAATTCTGAACTTTTTTTCAAAGCAATCGTACTGCTTTAGCTGCATAGAAACGGAATATCGAAGCGCGTAAGCGCCGCGTCGCCGTCTAACGGACAAACGATGTAACGGAACCCATGGAAATGTAAACAAAATTTATACGTATTATTAAAATCTCTATAAAATACCTGATAATTTTATGTGCCTATGTCTAATGATTATTTTTGACCGCCAAATGGCATTATTTTTTTACTTTTTTACTTGATCTCCGAAACCGTTAGACCTGCCTTTGTGAAAATTTGATCAGTTCTTCATCTTGTTAATACAAGTAAAATGTTTATTGAATTAGTAAAATCGGACGTTTCGCTCTCTTACCGTTTTTGGCCCGTATGTTTGGAACGGCTAGATCTGCCTTTTAAAAAAACTAAACAGCACGTCTCCTTATCAATACAAATCGAATGTTTTTTGAATTATTTAAATCGGTTGATCGGTGTTCCCGAAATCATCGACGAAAATTTGTATCCGCACAGAAACACACACACGCGCGCGCACACACACACACATACATCTATTTTTTGCTAATGTATGCCAAAATATTCAGAAACTTTTGAAACGTAAAATTTTGCGATTACTATAACTTACCCTACGGGTAGTTTAAAATAATCGAATTTTGTTAATTTGAGAGGTTTTATGTTAAAATACAGAAGAAAGACGAATATTTATGATAATTAAAACTAATTGAATGTTTTTGTAAAATAAAACTAAAATCAAGTATTTTCATTAAAAGTAATAAAAATGCTTATTGAAAAAATTAAAAATAAGTTTGAAAAATATAGACAGAGTGAACTTAAGAAAAATTAATCAGCCCAATTTCATACAAATATCTTACGAATGGTTTCAGAAATCACAAAATTGTTACATTACTTGCAAAAATGTTTATGAAAACTATTTGCTAATTAGTAGAAAACTCGACCAATTGCTGAAATAATCAAGGCGAATTATTATTTAATTTTTTGAACAGTATTTTAAATCTTAATAATCGTAGTTCCGAACAATAATTTGCTGTTATAATCACTTTAAAATTGATTCAGAATTTTAGATATATATTTGCATTAACTATATTGCATACAGTACAAATAATAATAATAAATTTTAGAAATGAAATCAATTATGCCACATTAGATGTCAACAATATTAATACTATTTAATAATATACCAGCTCAGGGTTTCCCAGAACTCAACGTCAAGTCAAAAAGGAGTGAAAGTATTGATTGAAAAAAATATAAATGAAATTCATCCTATGCGGTTGGAAAATTATTGGCTTTTAAGTACCACCAAGATCATTTCTGATTGTAAAATTAGTCAAAAATGATGACATAATTGCTCTAAAAATTCTTGAATTCAGATAGTTGAACTACCAAAATGTCCAAAGTTGGTCTACTTGCCAAGGAACTTCTATCAAGAAATGTATTATTCTATATTGCTTAGGTAAAATTTATTAAAACATTGTGTTTTTAATTGGGATTGTTCTATATAAAAAAGAATGAAATTTAAAAGCCTTAAATAACCCCAAAGTATTTCACTCACAATCAGTTCGGATGTTTTTTATTCGCACCAGCTAAATGAGCCAATTATCAAACAAAAAATGTATTTTTACCTAATAAATTTTGAAACAGATTTTTAGCATTTGTTTTTAATTCTTTTGTTAAAAATATGATCCAACAACTTCCTTTCTGGGATAGTAAGATGTTCTGTCATCCTGAAGTATTAAGGTGTTCAGTCTCTTACAGAAATGAATGAAACTTACAGAACGAATGCTTTTTTCCATCCCATATGTCTCCCAAAATCATAATTTAAAGTACGATTATAAAAATACAAACGAATGCTCAAAATTAATCCAGACTCAACTATCTATTATTTCCTTAAAAAAGTTTTAGGACCCCATAGAGTGCTAAGCTGAACGGTCCATTTAGTGCCCGTGCGATTTAGCCAATGTCATAAAGAGATATCTCTGAATCTCTTTATATGAAGCTGTGATATGACATTCTATTATGATTTATACCCGCTGGTCCAACAAATGAGGGCAGATTCACCCTCGGGGGTGTTAATGGTCATTCCGAACAAAAAACTTGCGAATCATCCGCGCCTGATTCTGATAAGGAGCATCTTGGAGAGGATTAGAGAGGAGAAATATGAAATATTTAGAGGAGAGGGGGAATGAAATATAAAAATTTTGAGTTGTTTCAATGTCATTTAATTTAGCCATGTTCTTGTTTATTCAAACCTTATATCATTTTTTTTGAACAACCTTAGATGGTGGTATATATGTCTTAAGACAATTTGCTTCAACATTCTGCTTCTACTTCGGATTTTTTTTCCTGATGATTGTTAAAGAAACTAGTAGTGTATGGCATCGTGTCTTAAGGCAACTTGCTGGAACTTTCCATAACGTAATGAAATATTCGAAAAGGATTTTTTTTTCGAATAAGATTTTTCCCAAAAAACAACAGTTTACCCGATTCAGAGTTTTTATAGGAATGCTATATTTACTTGAATAATTGGAAGAAAAAAAATTAACAAAAATTTCTTTAGGTGTTTATAAAAGATTATAATATAAGCACTTTTCGACTGAAATTATTTACTGTTCATTGTTATTGATAATGTTTTATGCAATTTAGTAGAACAAAAAATTGTTGAACAGGATTTAATTAAACTTGATAAATAATTAATTATATGTGGTTGATGCATAATTTTTACATAAGAGTGTAAATATTTTTATAATAGTGAAATGAAGGACTTCTATCGATTTTTAACAGTGTTTTTATCAATCTGGTACATTTTGCTACATTCGTCATTTACAATTTTATTTTAAGTGTTATTGATACATTTAAAAACTGGTATATTCTATTGAAAGTGGTTTTCAAGGTCCATAATTTTCTCACCTCACTAATATATTTCTTCATTAAAAATTAACGATCTACAAGAGATTTTACTAATTTATAATATGTAAATGTCCAACATTTCACCAATACTTTTATTTATACTATTGATAAAATAAAAACTGATATAAGATGATACAAAACTTATTTTAACTTGAAACCCACATGAAAGTGATTAGAATCTTATCAGAAACTAGTATGGAACCATAAAAAAATTCATTCGAAAGTTGTTCCAAAACAATTTAATTGTTTTTAGAATATATATATATATCAAAAGATTTTAAAAAAACATTGGTGCAGAATATAAAATTTAGTGAAACAAATCCGATAAATTAGGCTATACAGGGTGTCCCAGAACTCAAAGTCAATTCGAAACGTGGTGATAATATTGATGGTAACTATTATGGAAAAAATTAGAAATAAAAATTGCATCTAGTTTTGAAATTATGAGCTTTAAGTATCACCCAGAGCCTTGGTCAAATTCTGACTATTCTTCGGTTATTGTGGTTAATTTTTATTATTTTTGTTCATTTAAATTTTTGAACCTTAATTCCAAATAATGTATCTAGGATCACAGTCAAAAATAATGGTACACTTGCCACAGAGTTTTAAAAAATTAAGACTTTTTATTAAACTATGAATTTAAAATTTTCAAAAAGATTCGACTTTGAGAGACCCTTCTTTCTTTCTTCTTTAAAAAAATGTACTGTCAAAATTTGGCGCATTTTATCAGTATTGTAAAATGATTTCATAAAATAGTTTCATATAAAAACGAGTAAAAATAAAAACCGAAAAATAACACGTTCTCTGCGCTAGATTTTGTAGGATAAAATAAATTATTCTTAATAAAACACTTTGTTATATTTATATTTTCGATAATATTTGGTTTATTATTCAATAAATTAATTCTTTATAATATTATCTACATTTCTAATACATAGAATTTTTCATATATATATTTGTTTTATTTTTATAAGTATACACATACATTCATTTATTTAATCACACATATAGAATTTTATATACATATGGATTGCAATATTTATATTTAGAAATTTCTTTAATTTTATATTTTTAAAACTAATTTATGACATTTTCACGCGATTTTTGAAGATTTTTTTTAATGATCAATTTATTCTACATGATACAATTTATTTTTTATCAAAACAAAATCAATAAATTGAAACGTTTCACATCAAAAACATTCATACATTTATATAATAAAATTTTAAATCAATTAAGATTTTTCTCTTAAAGTCTAAAATATATACACAGAAGATATATACAAGTTTCCACTCAATTTTATGTACATATGAATTAATTTTAATATGACTACAATTTTTGGGGAATGTAATTATGTACATAAGTTCTTAATAATATATTTACAATATTAATAATTCGTTTATATTGAATTTAACGTATCAAACGTTAAAATAAAAATTTTAACCAATAGTCACGATTATTAATTACATTTACTCAAAACATTGTTTTAAAATTTTCAACAATATTTATATATATTTTTTAGTATTTGTTAATTTCAACTAATATTGAAAACTTAACTTTACTAATGGCAGATAAATCCAAGTAATTTTCACATCAATTAAATATATTTAAACACAAATTATCGATTGTTTGATGAAAAATTATTAATGATCAAAATGTTTACTACCTCTGAAAGAATTGCGTAATTTCAAAATTACTAAAATTTCTATCTTGGGTTAAAAATTTAACCCACTTAGGAACATAATACTGTGCATGTCTTATACATTTCTTGCTAAACTTCTTCATCCATGCCTAACTCCATAATTGCATCTTCTGCTTTTCCAACAAGCAAACTTGCTTATTTTTAAATTTTCAAGCAAATCTCCAAATTTTTCCTTCCACTTCAATGTTTATACCACCACCTCTGGTGATGATGAAGCATAGAAGGCGGGTAAGCAACATATCCTCCGTTGACACCACCAACTCCATTAATTACACTGTTGGCAACACCTGCTATGGTGGTATTTGTAGCATCTGAACCTCCACATGGTTTGCCATCCCTGACAAGTACTGGCACTGCCACTCTACGAGGGCTGTGGCCTCCAGAATTTGCTGGACCTCCCATCAACATATGATGAGCGTCCAAATGGTGAGGTAAAGGACCACCGCCTCCTCGTTCGTGTTGGGCACGTTTTGTCTTATACCTGAGGAAAGGAAAATAAAATTCTTAGTTAAATTCATCACTAACTAATTCTTTACTAAATAAAATCCATAAATACTTTTGGATAATTTACTATTTAGGCAATTGTATTGTTTTATCTCACCTATGGTTTTGGAACCAAATCTTGACTTGTGTAGGTGTGAGTCGAATTAAGCTTGCCAAATGTTCTCTTTCGGGAGCAGAAAGATACCTTTGTTGACGGAACCTCCTTTCTAGTTCATATGTTTGTTGTTTGCTGAACAAGACTCGCCTCTTTCGTTTTTTATGACCGCTACCACCATGAATAGAGTTAGGATCTGATGGGTCTTTGGATGTGAGATCTAGGTGATCGTCTAAATCGTCATCTTCATCGATTCCTGAAATAATAATAGAATAATGTTTTAGATGGATACTGGTAAAAAGATAACTGATGGTTGTCTTGGTTTTGAATGGCAAAAATGTTTTGTTTTTGGAGGAAAAGTGAGAAATAGTTTTAGATGGAAATTTTAGTAGATGGTTCAAGTTTTTCATCTCAATCTCACCTCCATCAATAGACTCCGATCTTGCTTGCTCCACACTGCCATCACCATATTCACTCGTCGTAACCTGCAGCCTCCTCAAATGATTACCAGCCGCATCTTCAAACCCATGATGACTTCCTTCCAAAACACCCAAACTCCTTGAATGATGACCAGGATCAACACTGTTTGGTCCAGCTAAACTCTTCTCTGAACCTTCTGGGTCGTAGTTTTCGGATTTGAGGTCTACTGACGAAGATGTCTGGGGTGTTTCTGATGTGTGGAGGGGTTTGGTGGAATCTGGTGTTACTGCGGGGGATGATCGTGATCTTTGGGGCAGTGAGCACCCGTAGGGGCCGTAGGATGTTTCTGGTGATCCTGTGGAATCTGGGCTGACTTGTTGGGCTAATGGCTGCTGTAAGGAGGAGAAATAAATAGTTAGTTAAGGACAAATACAAATGAGATGGGAAAATACTGAAATACACACTAATTTATGAATTTATTTATTTGTATATATAAATTTTTTGAGATAATCTATATTATACATTAATATTATTATATATATATATATATATATATATATATATATAATAAATTTGTAAATGTCGGTAATATGATACCGGTAATGTGCAAGGGAGTGTTCCCTTTATAGGGCGTGTATTGCAAAGGTGTGGCTTCTAGGAAACGACTTATTTCTTATGCTTTCGAGATATATGTATGTATGTATATATATGTATATATATATAATATATATATATATATATATATATATATATATAGGGAAGACTGGGTACGGATGTGCCATTTTTATCAGCTTTTTAATTTTGTAAAATTGCCGGTTGACTGGGAAAAAAGTAAAATAAAATCAAATCAAACAAGAAAAGGGTGAGTGTCACAACTGACCACACCTTAGGTAATCTTTATGAAATCTTTTGTTGTTTTGTACTGAATTTTCCTTTTTCTTTTTCCATCAAATTTTATCTCATCAGTAAACTTACATTTTTCTTTATCTGTTTAAATTTCACAAAATTTTCACGCCCCGTCCAATTTACGTGAGGATTTTAGGTGGAGGGGGGGGTTTTAAAATTACGAAAAATTACATGGGGTAGGTAAGGTTCTAGTAAGATATTACATTTATCTATTTTTTTTCTCAAATTAAGAAAAATAATAATAATAAACTCACGATTTTTTCATTCCAAAAATTGTACGTAACTAAGAATACACGTAATGGTTGATGGGGTAGGGAGGTTAAATGTCACTAAAGGGAGGGGGATCCAAAAAAAAACTAAAAAATTGATCACGTGATTAAGAAATGCCAAAAAAGACAAGAAATACATGTCTGGTAAATTGCTGGTAATTAACTACTAATGTAAAAAGCAAATTGGTCAAAATCATTTTAATATAAAAATTTTAATCAATTTAACAAACATACTTCATCTTTCTCCCTAAATTAAATTAAGTTAAATAAGTTAAATGGTCACTAAAGGGAGGGGGGATCCAAAAAACCTAAAAAATTGATCACGTGACTAACGGACGTCAAAAAAAGACATGAAATACATGTCTGGTAATTGCTGGTAATTAACCACTAATGTAAAAAGCAAATTGGTCAAAATCATTTTAATATAGGGGGCTGACTCAATGCAATAATGGAAACTTGTTCGAACAAACATACTTCATCTTTTTTCCTAAATTAAATTAAGTTAAATAAGTTAAATGTTCCTAAAGGGAGGGGGTATCTAAAAAAAACCTAAAAACAAGATCACGTGATTAATGGATTCCAAAAAAAGACAAAAAATACATGTCTGGTAATTGCTGGTAATTAACTACTAATGTAAAAAGCAAATTGGTCTAAAAAATACTTTAATGTGGGGTGTTGACTCATTGCAATAATGTAAACTTGTTCAAACAAACATACTTCATCTTCCTTCTTTGGACCCTATATCAAAATCAGTACAGTTCAGCTGTTATGAA